GCAGGAGAGGACTCTTTAAAGTAGAGACACTAGATACTAATTGTTTTCATGAGAAGTTTAGGGCCTCAGTTTCTAGTATAGATCTTTTTAGATGAATAACTGTACGTCTTTCTTTCTTCTCTCTTCTTGTAAGCTGGATTCCAAAGCACAAGATGAACTGAAAGAAGGTATGATGATTTATAAATCAGAGCCTGGACTGAAAAAATCCTGGGATAATGTCCAGAAAATGGTGAGTAAAGCAGACACTCATGACTTCTCATGTTGCGAGACTATAGGACAGGCTGCATACAACACTGACTGATGTCACTGGAGAATCTGTCACAGCGTCCAGCCTTAAGGGAGAACTATGCTTCTAACACAGTGCAGGAGTACATTTTAAAATAAGAGCAGGCGTCTGCCTTCAGCTCCTGTTCACTGCAAGCTCACTGTAGTGACTGTAGATGTATTTAACATGTGTATTTAAACAATACATGTGTGAGGAAGCTCCCTTTGGTCACATTTCCACATGTGGTGATCCTTCTGTCACAGCTCTGACTGTGTGTAGCCTGGACCTGCTGGATGTTTAACTTACCAGTGAAATAATTGGGATTGTAGAGAAGGGATGTCACCTGAGTACTGACAATATGTTAATATAAGCTATGTGGTTGAGAGGTATATTTTGATATTCTGACCCTACTCTCTCCTCTCGCAGTTCAAATGCTGTGGAGTCACCGACAAAACAGACTGGTATGATGTGCTGAATGGAACGCTGCCCACCTCCTGCTGCTCTGTGGGGATAGAGCAGTGTGTGGACGGGTGGACTGAGGTGGGTCTCTGCTCAGCTGCAGTTTATGGGGGGGGGGGTCTTACAGTAACTTCACTCACTTCTGTTTCCCCTGAATAACCTGTCCCTATCATTTGTGTCCAGTTTAATTGTCTTCTCCATGATGGTATGTTTGTGTTTTTATCATGTTCTGTTGCTTTGACCTCTTAGAATATTTAACTAATTGAACGGTTTCCCTGGGGGTCATGAAAGGGGCCTTAACTAAAATGCATTATTATTATTATTATTATTATTATTCACAGAGCATCCAGACTCCATCGATGATTATCCTCCAGGTACCAGTGGGTCGGGCCTCAAATCAAGGCCGATATCCATTTGATGAATATTTAGGTGCAGTACAGATATCAGCGGATTCAAATGAAACACTGATAGTGGTTGGTTTAAGAGTATGATGCTGTAGTAATGATGTATTCTGTCATATGAGCATCAGCAGCTCAGAGTGGCTCCTTAACCATTGCTTCACTGACGCTTAGGTTCTTATTTTTATCTTAATGTGTACACAAATAAAACACAATACGATTTTGTTTCGTAAAAATCTTCCAAATGTTCTGTATGAACTCTTCTAATTGAAATGTTCAACAAAACCCAGAACCAGCAGATAAGCAGCAAGGACAAAGGACAAAGGGACAGAGACAAAGTGGCTCATGCGCATTTCAAATGTTTTGCCCCTACAGCCATGATGTTGATTTTGGCTTTACAGAAGTGCAGGTTGATTATTAAAAAAAAACACACAAAACTTCTCAATATGATCCTTGCATTCTTCATGAGGGAGCGTTTCAGACACCGTCACGCATCTGGAAGAAATCCACATTCAGTTTGAGACAACCAGAAGGATGAAATGTGTTGTACGCTGCAGGACAGAGGAACGGTGTGTTTGTTACTCTTATTATGACTCTATTCCATCGTTGACCCCACCGTTACAAGCAGTTCAAAGCAGTTTTCTATACTTTGTGTCTGTGTCCATAGTTTTGGCTGTTGTTTGGTTTTGATAGGATTGTTCTCATTGACAAATTGCCGGGATAATGACTCACACGAGAACACGAGCAGTCACAACTCCAGGTTATTTTAAGAAGGTCAACTTTGAGGCACCAACTTTTTACTGTTTTATCTTCCGAAGGAGTTAAGCATTGTTGCTGTGTTTACAGAAGTTACAGCTGTGCCACGTCCAACACAGTCTACAATGTTCTGTTAAAGGAATGAAGGCCAGAGACAACAACTGTTGTCATATACTTATTTGAAAATCTCTGTACTTCAGCGTCTGAGGCGGTCTACCCCAGTGTGTTTTCTGTCATTTTGTATGTGTCTGTTATGGAACTCTATGAGCATTATTATCTGTGCTCTCCATGTACAGCTACCGGACTGTCAAACATATAGAGTCTCACAGTGAGGCTTTATGATTTCTAAGATTAGTTGTAATTCTTATTTTGAATTTGTCTCTATACCTCTTCTTTAGTAATCTTATTATATGTCTTGTGTTTCCGGTCTCTCGTTGCAGCCGTGCTACCAGAAGGCCCGGCAGTGGCTGCTGGATAACATTCCCTCCGTCCTGGTGTTTGGAGTGTGTATCGGTGTTGTGCAGGTACTTATAATGAGTACACATGTTTATTCTTGATCTCTATATGTATGTTAAAGGAATGGGAAATACTCCAGTCACAGCACAGCTCAGATTCTGCACAAGTTACAGAGTTTGCTTTGTTAATAAATAAATAGCAACATTACACATTGCCACGTTTTGAAGGAAGATTTTGTTACATGTTTAACATCATTTAAATATGCCAAACTATACAATGTGGAATGTGTCGGTGAAGACCCATAAACCTGTGTGAGCTCTTTTCCCCTCCACATCTTTAAAGACACTTCTCAGAACTGGGAAAGACCCCCAAATCCTCTTCATTCCAGGGTTAAACAAAAATTGTAGATTTTATTTACAGGAAACTGATTCTCAAAACAGAAAAATGCAGAACGGCAGTAGCCTGTGATTTGGCTTCACTTTATCCCACAGTCATGTTGTTAGAGTTGCCGTGGGGACAACACGTCTTGTCTGTTGGTGACCTCAGTGAACGGGATCTATAACAGGTTTGAACTCTCCTCTCTCAGATCCTGGCCCTGGTGTTCTCCATGCTGATGTACTGTCAGATCCTGTGCGCTGAGAAACATTTGGACTGAGTGCAGAGGGGAAGACTGATCACAAACACCGCCAGCCTGATTCGAGGTGTCCACCCCCGCCTCAGGACTGTGTGGGTCACAGCACACATGACTGCATCTCAAACGCCCCAGAGCATCGGCTTGAACATTCCCAATTTCAACAAAAAACGACTAAACGATGGCAGTAACAGACTGAAGAGTTGTTGTTGTATCAGCTTTATAAAATATGGTTTCATTTTAGATCCATCAGCCTCCAGACAAAATCTGCAATAACCATAATGCATTGCAACTGCAGAGGAACCCGAGGGAAACACTGGCTCTAAGATCCTCTTCAAATTCAAGAAAATAATCTGTGTCTGTATTTTACAATATTTGGTTTCCAGAGTTGCTTCTCTTAGATTGTTGTCATGAACAGCAAATAATAGTGTGACACTTAAAAGGTCATAAAACAGCCAACAGGCATTGTGTTTCCTCAGTATGCCTGCTAGAAAGGCTTTGGGAGGAGGAGAATAAGAACAAAATCAAATAAAACATTTTTACGTAGCACTTAGTTCACTTTGCTAATAATTCATGCCTTGAATATTAAACCTTAACCATATAAGCACTTTGGTCATGTAGTGTAGTTTAGCCATTTGAAAGTTTTACATGTATTTGGTATCTAATGATTACAGCAAAACGTATTATAAATACTTTTACATGTGTTTTAGCAAAACAGTAAGATATTATGCCTTTTATAATCTTGAGAGTTTTTAGAAACTTATGGTAATCTCCTCTACTGTTTTTAAAGATGTTTTGCATTCACATTTAAATAACAGTGTGACCTGTTGTGAGCGCTCGGTCTCTTGATGATCTGCAAACAATCCAAATGAAACTTGAGGCGTAGATTTGACCGAGCTGAATCCATTCGTGTGGATGTTCCCGACTTAAATAAACGTAACACAAAAAGTAAGGAAATCTGTGTTTGGTAGATTATTTCTTTGTTGTAACAATGCTTCTTGACAATAAATCTTATAACGTTGCAAAGCCTGTTTATTTACCATGGTGCCACATTTATGAGGAATATTTGTGGGATGAGCAGCAGAGCTGAGTATGTGGGCATGGGACAAATCTCCTCTGCCAAAGCCAAACAGCTTTTTCACTGTTGACTCTTGTTTGGTGTTGTTTGGAGCTGTGGGTGGGTGTGCAGTCGTGGGTCAGCAGGGTGAAGAGCAGGGGGCTGAGCACACGTCCTTGGGGGGCCCCTGTACTCAGTGTGATGGGGTCTGATGTGTTGTTGCCGACCCGTACAGATTGGGGTCTGGCAGTGAGGAAGTCCAGCAGCCAGTTGCAGAGAAAGGGGCTGAGGCCCAGGTCTGTTGGTTTACAAACCAGCTGCTGGGGGTTGATGATAGCTAAAGTCTATGAACAGCATCCTAACATAAGAGTTTTTAGTGTCCAGGTGGGTGAGGGCAGGGTGGAGAGCAGAGGAGATTGCATCCTCAGTGGACCGCTTCGCTCGATAGATGTTCCTCCACATGTTGAGGTTCCAGTCATGGCAGGCCTCCTAGCAGCCGTACGAGACCGGAGAGTGGCTGCTGTTTGGGAGAAGAGCTTTGTCACATTTTTCATGGGCGCAACCCACATACTCAGTTCTGCTGCTCATCCCACAAATGCATGTTCCTCACAAATGTGGTACCATTTGAAAGGTAAGAAAACAGGCTTGCCAAGAAGCATTGTTACAAATAAGATATAATCAACCAAACACACATTTCCTTACTTTTTGTGTTAAGTTTATAGAGAAAACAGAGGCCATGCAATTTAGTCTGGCTGTTGACATCAACTAAAACAGTTTTAAGAAAATCACAGATCATAAAAAAACAAAGACGTGATTATAAATGTGTGAATTTATAATGCACATATTTATGTGAATTACTGCGTTGTCATTTTCTGCTCCTCACATCTGCTTCCCCCCCAGTCCCATTCATTCTTAAAGATCACTGTCAATAAATGGATGCTGCATTGATGAGTCAATTTGTTTTATTTAACAGGTGTCAAACTAAAACTGTAAGTAAAAATACTTAAATAGCCAAGGACGCATTTCCAATCCCCGACATGGGGGGGTGCCATGCAGGGAGTTTGGGTTGAGGGTTAGAAAAAGGGTCCACATGCCCATTAAAGATCCCCCCATTCTGACTGTATCTGAATAACATCATTGTGAAAAGTCCTCATCTATAAATAAATATAAAAAACATTATATTACATAAACGTACAATCATTCATTTTTCACATTTCATTAACTTTAATCATGATTGATGTAAACAGCAGAAAAAAACGATTCCGTTTTCAACACCTGTGTATGAATTATTTAGTAAAAAATGTTAAAATAGCACCTTAAACAAACAACAACATTTAAAAAAGTTGTGAATAAAAAAGGTAAAAATACTCCTACTAATTGATCCGGGGCCTGGAGGCATCCTGTCCTCCAGGCCCCGGGGGTGGGGGGGGGGGGCGTAATCATGATGCAACTGTAAACTGCTTATCAAAGTCCCAGTGATCAAAGAATCTCCACAGCAGCTTCCTGCTGACCATGTACTCGTCAAAGTACTTCCTGATGTCCAGGCTCCAGAGGAACATGTATCACAGAGGCTTCTGGAATCTTGTCACAGGTGAGAGTCAGTGGAAGAGAGTGTCCGTGTAGAGCAGCAGAGTGAGGCCCTCTCTGCCTCTGATGTCCTCCTCCAGAGCTCAGTGCTGATCTGGGGTCAGCAGAACTAAAATTGTCCCGAGAGCTCGGAACACTCAGTCATACTCCGCAGGCTCTTCCAAATATACCACGTTCTCCTGAAGACAAAGAAAAAGGGTGGTTGATGAGTAACAAAGGAGCAAAATAGCTCAAAATGAATTTACAACATCAAGAGTCTACATGTGCCGTCTGTGAGGCCCCGACCCAGAGGCTGTGCCGAAAGCTTTGAGTTGTTTAGTCCAAATGTACGTTGTATGTTCTCTAACCCTGATTAAAAACCAGGCATCTAAATGCCATTCTAATGTGACTAATTGACCGACCAACACAAGCGGATGGTGTATTTTATCATTAATGAAGTTTCTTAAAGGTCCCATGTCATGCTTTTCCGGTTATTACCCGTCCCCTTGTGTGTTATGAAGGTCTTTCTGCATGTAAACGGTCTGCAGAGTCACAAACCCTCAAAGTACACCCTGTAGGGAGTAAAACTCTAACACAGAGAAGACCTCCCCAAAAGGCCTCGTTGGAGATTTCTCTTTTTCCATTGTTTACTTCCTGGGTACTGTGACGTGGGGATACCCAGAGGCCGCACCCTCTGCCAGCCTTTCACAAAACAAAGCTTCCCAAACCTTTCAGCAATGCCTGCCGGATATGCACAGCGTAGGGCACTGAAGAACGATGCTGTTCCTTTGTTTGGACCAGCGGGAGATTCGGGTACACAACCTGTAAGTATTCATTGTTGTTTGTGTATTTATGATGTTTAAAACAAACAAGGTATCTACCACGGCTGTTTAAATGGGTAAACGTTTTTCAGGCTGCTAAGTTGAGATCGCGGAGAAATGCTCTCCGCAGACCCATTCTCACAGCGTTATAAACCTTTTTCTTACTCCATATCAAGCCACACTTATTGCTTTTACTTCGGCTGTGAGTGTTTGTGTGTGCTCAGGATGAGTTTATCTTGTTCTAGCTGTATTTGTTTCGCCGAAACGGAAGCCCTGTCTGCTCCTCACAGCAGCTCCTCACGTCACGAGCAGCTGCACATCGCTTGACCAATCAGAGCACACTGGGCTCACAGGGAGGGGGGGGGGGGGTGAGCTCCAACAAGCCGTTTAGGACAGAGAGTGAATACACATACTATACAGAGAGATGCTGTATGAGAAACCAATGTGAGTTTGGAACATTGCACAATGTAAATCTATTTTAGTAGACCTCAACAATGGAATTATGATCAGTGGAAATGGCCATGGCCTCTCTGAAGAACCAGCACCTTACCAGTGGTAGAGAGGTTTGTGTGCCCTGATGAACCTGGGGGGCTGTGTTGTCTGGAACCTTGTGTTCCTGGTAGGGTCTCCCATGGCAAATTGGTCTCAGGCAAGGGGGCCAGACTAAGATTGGTTCAAAAGACCTCATGAAAGAAAAACTAAGAAGTGAGGATACCCGGCCCCGGAGGAAGCCCGGGTCCCCTTCTGGAGCCAGGCCCAGAAGGAGGACTCGTCGGCGAGCGTCTGGTGGCCGGGCTTGCCACGGAGCCCGGCCGGGCCCAGCCCGAAAAGGCAACGTGGGCAAACACCTCCGCTTCTCCGTCCCGCGGGCCCACCACCATACGGGAAACATCGATGGGGTCGGGTGCGCTGCCAGAAGGGTGGCAGTGAAAGCGGAGGGTCTCGACGGACCAGACCCGGGCGACAGAAGCTGGCTTTGGGGACGTGGAACGTCACCTCTCTGGGGGGGAAGGAGCCGGAGCTTGTGCGGGAGGTGGAGCGTTACCAGTTGGATCTGGTTGGGCTCACCTCTACGCACAGCGTCGGCTCTGGAACCTTACTTCTGGATAGGGGTTGGACTCTATTCTTCTCCGGAGTTGCTCAAGGTGTGAGGCGCCGGGCGGGGTGTGGGGATACTCACAAGTCCCCGGTTAGGTGCTTCGTTGTTGGAGTTTACCCCAGTGGACGAGAGGGTCGCCCTCCCTACGCCTGCGGGTTATGGGGGGGAAAACTCTGACTGTTGTGTGTGCTTATGCACCCAACAGCAGTTCAGAGTATACGGCCTTCTTGGAGACCCTGGAAAGAGTCCTGTATGGGGCTCCTGAAGGGGACTCTTTAATCTTGCTGGGAGACTTCAACGCACATGTGGGCAATGATGGAGACACTTGGAGGGGCGTGATTGGGAGGAACGGCCCCCCCTGATCTGAACCGGAGTGGTGGTTTGTTACTGGACTTCTGTGCTAGTCATGGATTGGCCATAACAAACACCATGTTCGAACATAAGGATGCTCATAAGTGTACGTGGTACCAGAGCACCCTAGGCAGAAGGTCCATGATCGATTTCGTTATCGTATCATCGGACCTGAGGCCGTATGTTTTGGGACACTCGGGTAAAAGAGAGGGGCGGAGTTGTCAACTGATCACCATCTGGTGGTGAGTTGGGTCGAGTGGCGGGGGAAGCCTCTGGATAGACCTGGTAAGCCCAAACGTGTAGTTCGGGTGAACTGGGAACGTCTGGAGGAGGCCCAAGTTCAGGAGGCCTTCAACTCACACCTCCGGCGGAGCTTTTCGGGCATTCCTGTGGAGGTTGGGGACATTGAACCAGAGTGGTCGGTGTTCAAAGCCTCTATTGCCGAAGCCGCGGCGGGGAGCTGTGGTCTCAAGGTCCTAGGTGCCTCAAGGGGCGGTAACCCTCGAACCTCCTGGTGGACACCGGTGGTCAGGGAAGCCGTCCGACTGAAGAAGGAGGCCTTCAGGGATTTGTTTATCCCGGGGAAATCCCGAGGCAAGTTGCAAGGTACCGACAGGCCCGAAGGGCAGCAGCCTCATCCGTGGCCGAGGCAAAGCAGCGGGGTGTGGGAGAAGTTCGGAGAAGACATGGAGAAGGACTTTCGGGCGGCACCAAAGTTGTTCTGGAAAACTGTCCGACACCTCAGGAGGGGGAAGCAGGGAACCATCCAAGCTGTGTACAGTAAGGATGGGACGTTGTTGACCTCAACTGATGGAGTGTTAGGGCGTTGGAAGGAACACTTTGAGGAACTCCTGAACCCGACAACTCCGCCCTCTATGTTAGAGGCAGAGCTGGAGTATGACGGGGGATCAACACCAATCTCCCGGGGGGAGGTCACTGAGGTCGTCAAACAACTCCACAGTGGCAAAGCCCCGGGGGTGGATGAGATCCTCACGGAAATGCTGAAGGCTCTGGGTGTTGAGGGACTGTCATGGTTGACACGTCTCATCAACGTTGCGTGGAAGTCGGAAACAGTACCGAAGGAGTGGCAGACCGGGGTGGTGGTCCCCCTTTTTAAAAAGGGGGATCAGAGGGTGTGTGCCAATTACAGAGGCATCACACTACTCAGCCTCCCCGGGAAAGTTTACTCTAAGGTACTCGAAAGGAGGGTCAGGCCGATTGTCGAACCTCAGATTGAGGAGGAACAATGTGGATTCTGCGACCTTCAGCACTCACTGGATCGGTTCGCAACCGAGTGTGAAGCGGCTGGGATGAGGATCAGCACCTCCAAATCTGAGGCCATGGTTCTCAGCAGGAAACCGATGGACTGTCCACTCCAAGTAGGGAATGAGTCCTTACCCCAAGTGAAGGAGTTCAAGTATCTCGGGGTCTTGTTCTCGAGTGAGGGAACAATGGAGCGTGAGATGGCCGGAGAATCGGAGCAGCGGGAGCGGTACTGCAGTCGCTTTACCGCACCGTTTGTGACGAAAAGGGAAGCTGAGCCAGAAGGCAAAGCTCTCTGTCTACCGGGCCATTTTCGTTCCTACCCTCACCTATGGTCATGAAGGATTGGGTCATGACCGAAAGAACGAGATCGCGGATACAAGCGGCCGAGATGGGTTTTCTCCGCAGGGTGGCTGGTGTCTCCCTTAGGGATAAGGTGAGAAGTTCGGTCATCAGGGAGGGACTCGGAGTTGAGCCGCTCCTCCTTCGCTTCGAAAGGAGCCAGTTGAGGTGGTTCGGGCACCTAGTTAGGATGCCACCTGGGCGCCTCCCTAGGGAGGTGTTCCAGGCACGTCCAGCTGGGAAGAGACCAAGGGGTAGACCTAGGACCAGGTGGAGGGATTATATCTCTTCGTGGCCTGGGAGCGCCTTGGGATCCCCCAGTCAGAGCTGGTTGATGTCGCCAGGGAAAAGAAAGTTTGGGGCTCTCTGCTGGAACTGCTACCCCCGCGACCCGACCACGGATAAGCGGAAGAAGATGGATGGATGGATGGATGGATGGAAATGGCCATGACATGGGAGCTTTAAGACTAACGGCTAATCTATAAATAACCAAAAAATAAGTACCCCCTTGTACATGTATCGGCCAAAACTATCCAATAATTGTCTTCTCTAGTAAAGGCAATGCATTATTTACATGAATGGATCAATTCCATACCACAGATGTAATTAATTTCTATCGAGAAGTTGAATATGCTAAATCACTCACCCATCCTCCGTGGCTCTTCACCCAGGGAGCGAAGGTCTCCATGTAGCTCTCAGCATAGCCTTGCATGCGCTGGGTTCCTGTGGCTGTCACTATCCTGCGTGACACCTCCATGGTGACGGCCATGCGTCTGAGCGTGGGACTGGCTGCTGGCTGAAGGGCGGGGGGGTCCGACACCTCACTGCCACTGAACGTGTCGAGAAGCTTGGCAAAGGAAGCGTAGGAGAGACGAGCCAAGCTGGAGCGCAGGAAGGGGTCCGTCTGGATCTAGAGGAAGATATGTGTGATTTCAACATCACTACTTATGTTATGTATAACTGCAGACTTCACACCAGTCCGTTAAAGTTGAAATCTTCCGGACAAAATTAGAAAAGTGCTGGTCAAAGGTCTTCTTTCTTATTTATTGAGCTTTAACACAAATGGATATGATTCGATATTAAACAAACTAATTATAGTAGATTAACTACATTATTCAAAAGTGTACAGTAATTTACAATAACACGGGAATAACGGAGCGCTCTCTTCCTCTCCTGACAGCCCGTCAGTATCATGCATCTCGCGGATCAGTAATGAGCAGTGTTGGGACTAACGCGTTACAAAGTAACACGTTACTGTAACGCCGTTATTTTGGGCAGTAACTAGTACTCTAACGCATTACTTTTTAAATTTAGTAACTCAGTTACCGTTACTACATGGTGCGTTACTCCGTTACTGCGTTAGTTTTATTATATAGTCAACAGCCAGGCGAACAGAGATGAGAACTGTACTTAAGTACAGTACTTGAGTAAAAGAATATGAGAAAGAGAAAGAATATACAAAAATGGAAAGCCAGCTAATATCGATGCAATCCAGATTGCATATAATGCATGTCAAGTTGATCAACAGATTGTATTATTCTCCAATGCAATAACAGTACTGAAATGAAGGCTATAAGGGCATTAATGGGAGCCATTTGTTTAAGTAACTAAAACGTTAAAACCTTTTCATAGTAACGCATTACTTTTGGTTTAAGTAACTAGTAAAGTAACTGAGTTACTTTTGAAATGAAGTAACTAGTAATGGTAACTAGTACTGGTTTTCAGTAACTAGCACAACACTGGTAATGAGTGACCCGACAGTAAAACTAAACATATCTATAACTAGTTTAGGTAGTTTGAGAGGTATTTAAAAATAGCTACGTGTGATATTCTAACCTGAAGTGTGTGTTTTGTCCGCTCACCGCTGCAGGTGATCATGCAGAGCTGCGTGTCGACTCTCATCAGCAGCAGCTGATCTCTCTCTCCCGTCAGATTAGACTTCACTCGCGTTTATGTCCATATCGATCAGATCCAGCTAGTTCTAGCTAATGATATGACTACCTGCTTATTAAAAGACACCTAAACAATAAGCTACTCGCTATGCAACCGGGTGAGGCCGCATTTGTTTACATGCCCACCGGAACCCCAAGGCATTACCAACAGATCAACCCATACAGGACATCTCTTTCTCCACATTAAGTGTTAGACATTAGAATTGACTATTCTTGTCTGTCACCATACTCTTCTTGTCTGTCACATAAGTGGCGCAACTGTATTGCGCTAAGGGGAAATTATTTTGATCGGAGAGATTTAGATTTGCCGGTCTTCAGCATATTTTACCGGTCATAGTCCGGTAATTACGGGAACTCTGATTCACGGATATGCTTAATTGCTTCAACCTCATTCAACATTCCTACCCATAGGCTAACTGTGGCCACATTGTGGACCTTGTTTGCTCGACTGGACTAAACCTTCACCATCTGTCTGGCTCAGACCTCTTCCTCTCCGACCACTTAGCCATGACCATCAACATTCCCACCCCACCACCAAAGCACAAACGCAAAATCAGCTTCCGTAAACTAAGCTGTGTTTTAGCTACCTCGCTCTCATCCTCGCTCTCTGAAAAAATATTCCACCACTCCCTTTGTGGACCTCCAGCCCCTCTGATCTCACTGACTACTACAACAACATTCTGTCCTCCTGCTTTGAACAACTTGCAACCCTAAAAACCAAAACAGTTTCCTTCACCCACTCTGCTCCCTGGTTCACCCCCTTGAACTCCGTCTGATGAAAACACGTGCCCGGCAACCTTGAAAGACAAAAACTGGTCTCACGATTAATTCTCAAACCTACAAGACCACCTACAGCAATATGAAGATGCCCTCTCCCATGCCCCGCACCACCTACTACTCTGTTAATCCACTCTGGCTCCGGAAACCCCAAAACACTCTTCTCCACAATAAACAAACTCCTCAGCCCCCTGGACACCACCTCTCAGTCATTCACAGTCGACAAATGCAGCTCTTTTCTCACATTTGTTCAAAGCAAAATAGACCACATCTACAGCAGCTTAACCACCCACCACACCTGCGTCCCCTCAAGCCACATGCCCCCCCTTATCCTGCAACCCATGTCCCAGTTCTCCCCTGTCTCCCCCTACTGACCTCTCTGATTGCTGTAATGATGAGTGAACATCACTAACAGCAATCTGTGAGGAGTCACAGGAATGAAAACTGCCACCTGCCACCTGCACCCTGGACCCCATCCCTTCCAGCTTTGTTAAGGCCTGCCTTCCCTACTCTCTCTTCACTCATCACTACAGCAATCAACTCCTCCCTGTATTCTGGCACCGTCCCCACCATCCCTCAAAATAGCTGCTATCACCCCTATTCTGAAAAAACCTGGACTCAACCCCTGACAACCCTAATAACTTCAGACCAATCTGGAACCTACCCTTTCTATCCAAAGTCCTGGAACGCGCTGTAGCGTCACAACTCAAGCATCACCTCTCTGCCAATAACCTCTATGAAGCTTTTCAATCCGGATTCCGCTCAAACCACAGCACCGAAACCACCAAGGACCTTCTCCTCTCCTCCGACGCCGGTAACCTCAACATCCTCATCCTCCTCGACACCATCAATCACTCCAACCTCCTCACCCGTCTTGAAACCACCTTCAACATCACCGGCACTGCCCTCTCTGGTTCACATCATACGTGTCGGATAGAAACCAGTTAATCTACATCAATAACTGCAAATCCCCCACCGCTCCCCTCCCCCCACGGTGTCCCCCAAGGTTCAGTTCTCGGCCCCCTCCTCTTCATCCTCTACCTGCTTCCCCTTGGTCACTTAATCCACCGTCATGGACTTCAATTCCACTGCTTTGCCGATGACACCCAGCTCCTCCTCTCCACCAAGTCCATCTCCACTGCTACCCACTCCATCCTGACAAACTGCATCACTGAAATAAAATCCTGGCTCCAACTCAACTTCCTGAAACTCAACTTGCGATAAATCTGAGATAATAATCATTGGACCAAAAAAGCTCACCACACCTATCCATAACTTTCACCCTCAACATAGACGGCTTCCCAGTTCAAACCTCCCCTCACATCCGGAACCTAGGCATCATATTTGACCCAAACCCTCTCCTACAACAAATACATCAAACAGATCACCAAGACAGCCTTCTTCCACCTCAAAAACATTGCCCGTCTACATCCATCCCTCTCCCCCACTGCTGCAGAAGAACCCTCATCCACACCTTCACCACCTCCCGTCACTATTGCAACAGCCTCCTATATGGTCCACCTGCAAAAATCCTCAACAAACTTCAATACATCCAGAACTCCGCCACCCCGTATACTCACCCACCACCCGAATCCGTGAACACATTACCCCCGTCCTCATCAAGCTCCACTGGCTCCCCATCCCCCAGAGAATTCAGTACAAAATCCTCCTGATGACATACAAAGCCCTCCATAACCTGGCCCCATCCTACCTGACTGACCTCCTCCACAGACACATTCCCACTCGCTCCCTCCGCTCTGCTACTGCCAACCTCCTGCTCCTCCCCCCACCCGGACCAACCTCAAGTCCTGGGGCGGCAGAGCCTTCTCCGTTGCTGCACCCACCCCTCTGGAACTCACTACCCCAATCCATCAGAGATTCTTCCTCCCTCACAGCATTCAAAACATCACTCAAAACCCACCTGTTCAACCACAGACCCCCCCCCCCCCCCATTTTCTGTTTTGTTTATCTCTTTTGTATTTTCTTTGTTTTGTTTTTTGTTTTTAATTATCTGTCAAAGCGTCTTTGAGTTTCCTGAAAAGCGCTATACAAGTCTCATGTATTATTATTATTATTATAGCAGCTGATGGTTCTATTCTAGTCTACTTTCAACACAAAAGATGCCAGTATTTGACAGATGGATAATAACCTTTACACACCTTATGATGAAACACAGCCTACCTTATTGTTGATCGAATCTCCCTCTAAAGATAGAACCTGAGCCAGCTGCTGCACCACGACTTCTTTGTCCCACACTGCTGAACGAACAGAAGAAAAATCAAGTTTCCATCAAAGTGTTCTGAGTCTTGTTTGGGTCTTTGCTTCAGCTGGATTCAGACAGGAACATACACTTATCGGTCTTAGCAACAAGTACCCGAGAGATGATGAAATAGAAAGCAGGTAATCCAGTTTGGGTAGTAGATGCATGAGTTCATTGTGTTCCTAAAGTAGTCATTTAGTAAATTAAAGGTCTCCTATTATACTATTTTTAGGCATATATTATAGGTCTCAGATATATAAAGTAAGGGTGTAACGGTTCACAGATTCACGGTTCGGTACGTACCCTCGGTTTGGGGGGTCACGGTTCGGTACGGGTTCGGTACAACAAGAAAAGCAAAAAAAGTCCCAAATGTATAATTCCAGGTTTGTTTTTTATTTATTTGAACAGTAGTGCAAGTTTCAGTATACAATAAGGAACTCTAACATTTTGAATAATTAACTTTATAACCAGTTAAAAAACAACCACAAACAGAACCACACACACTCAGATGGCCATATTATCTATGATGGCTGATGCCAAACCATTACAGGTTTTCATCAAGCTATGAAACTAAAAGAATGTCTTGAAAATATTACAAAATAAATAAGAAAGTGTTTCAATCACAATCAATAAAAGCCGGGGTCCTCTACGATTGCATAAGGGTGCATAGCCGTTGAAAAACATATGCCAAAAGCTTCCGTTATTTATATTGGTCTCTCGGCTTTCATGTCTATTGGCTTCTTAAAAACAGCGGGGATAAGCTGCTGAACTGCTGTTGTCTTCGCCGGGCTTGCCAAATCTGGGTGATGCCTTCTGATCAGCCTGTCCTCCTACAAAAAACTACCAAATAGGTCGATTGTTTAAGCAGCTTAGATTACGACCCATAGCCACGTTTTAAAGTGTAGCAACCTCTATGGGTCGTGTAAGAAACAACATGCTCCCGTTTATTCGTTTATTCACAAATAACCCTCTCTGGAAAATCCTAAATTAGTGGAATAGTTAGGCCATTAAAATGCTTTTGATTAGATTTCTAGCGAGAAGTGTATATTGTACTTTTAGAATCCACGTCCAGTGGATGTGTAGGATCTATATTTTGATAGATATTTACGAAGATGATCTGAGGTCTCGTCAGGATAACGTGTATGCAGCTTCCATGTAAAGTTAGCGTGGGTGAAAACAGTTTTTTCCGGTCTCGAAGTTTTCATAATAAAACCGGATATATGCCCCTCACTGTCAAATAATTACACAGTGATATCTGCATTACTCATCCACTAAAAAACATCAGTTTATACTTGTTAATTACATAATATTGATTGGTTTAAATTGTGTACAATGCTTTTGTGTTTTTAACCTTCGATTCAGAGAAAACAAATACTTTTTTAGGAGTTTAGACACTACAGTTTCCGAAGACACTACACTTCCCAGAATCCCCAGCTATCGTTTGGGACTACAACATCCGCCTTGCTTTACAAACCACCGTGATCAGTCATCAAGCCCTGTGATTGGATGTTGGAGTGGCAGTGCGACCAAGGTTACGCTGAGCGTCAACAGCTCTTGAAATGGAATGGAACCACGGCTGACTTTCCCCCCAGAACTACACATGCTGGTTATTGTGTGTTTCACAACATGTTCTATGGCACGTTTCTTTATAAGACGTTTTCGTATTTCCCACAATTAGAAGTCGCCAGTATTAAACTGTGTACACCCTGGAGGTTTAGGGGATATCAAACACAGTGGTGTTATCAAATGTAAAACATATAATTAATAAATGGGTGAAATAATATACCCACATGACACCTAAGGTCAGAAGAGCTTTATTTAACAGCTGGTCTTATGTCTGTGACCCCTCCTGTTGTTCATTGATAAGCCTGAAACATGCTCAAGGTTCAGAGGCACATTTTGCAAATATGGCAGTAGCCATCGATCATCTTAAGATAAGATATACTTTATTGATCCCAAGTTGGGAAATGTTTTTGTTACAGCAGCATGTACTACTTTGTTACTCCACTACAATTCAGAGGTTAACCTGGTATTTTTACTCCACTACATGTATTTTAGTTACTTTGCAGATTCTGATTAATGATGTGAAATATAAACAACCCTTAAATCAGACTTTAGTTACACCTGAGTCAAATTCAGGGAAGGTGATTGACAAGTGCCAAAATAAACTATGCAATATATTGGAAGTTAAGTACTTTGTCAGACTTAATGTTTATCTGTGGATAACCCCAACGTTTTTTTCTTATTCAAAAGAAGACCTTAACTTAAAGTATTCTTTAATGTTTAAATAAAGCCTTATTAGTTTGTCTGTTTTGCACATCCTCCTGTTAATATCTTTGGACGTCCTGCACTAAACTGTTTTATTGTAGAGATCACTACAGTATCTTCTTGATATTTTCTATTCTATATTTCTATCATGCCTTCGACTTCCCCCAATTTTGTATGTAGGCTACTCTTAATATTTAAATGTTTTCATCAAATAAAACGTATTCAACAACAAAATTCAATAACGTGCTTTAACCACTAGGCGGTGCGGCTTAAAAAAACAGTTTAGTTTATAAAACATAATAATATGAAACATAATATTAACTTTATTGTGAAATGAAAACAGAACGGTAAAGGAAAATACAGTTTCAGTCTCTCGATTTGAAGCTTATGCATTGTACCATGAACCTGTATAGACCTGTAACAGTCAACTTCATGAGGAGTTGGAAAGGTAGTAAATAATATCTTTAAAACTACAAAAAATCCTTTTCTATCAGCTGTGCACCATTATGGTGTAAATATAACCCAGTGTTTCCCCTACCATTGTCTTGGCGGGGCGCTGCGCCCTGCCACGGAGCCCCGCGCCCCGCCTGAAATTCAAGGTGTTTTTTTTATTTAAAGAGCAACTTGCGGTTAGACACCAGTGAATAAAATGTGTAGGGAAATGATGAATACACTAGATTTTCAAAAAAATATACAGAAATAATACACTACAGTGACATCTGGCGTCGTTTTAGTAAGACATTTTCACTTCCGCATATAAAAAAGCTCCGCACGTGACCTCCCGATGGAGAGCGGCCGGTCTAGTATGAATAAACATGAATCACAATGCTAGTTTTGACACAGAAGAGGTTGAATATGTATATTCGAATGCATATGATTATAATTATGAGCCTGCTATGCGTCCAAGAGGACCAGGAGCAGCCAAGGATTAGAAAAAATAACGTCCCATCGGAGAGGAGAAATGGAGCTTGTGGTGTGAGGAGATCTGTGAGGGAGAACCAGTGGAGCACAGAGCATCTGTCTTGGTGAGTGACCGGCGTTAGCTACAGTAATGTTAAGCTAACGTCACATCATCAACATTGTAAAGTTAGGCTATCATATATCAGGCTATAAATCTAAAGTAGTATGATAATATAGTAACGTTACTGGCAGGACTGTTGATACTGATCCTAAAACAAAACTAGATGCGCAAGTATCAGCCGTATCTCACGTTAACCTACATGCACTGCACACTACGGTGCTGTTGTACGGCGGAGGGGAGACGCGAGATACGGCTGATACTTGACGATCTGGCGGAGAAAGGTTGTGGAGCCTCCGTTGATATGCCGTTGTAAATGGCTTGATGGAAAGCAGGTGTGTAGTCGGGGAGGGTGCACAGCTTGATTGCAGCAGGTGAGTGAGGTGAGCCGAGAGCCAGGAGTGACAGCACCACGCCCACAAAACAACACAGACAGGGGGAAACAAACGAAGACGGCTGGAACAGTACAGCCACCACAGCGTTACCTAATGCACTCCATACTACGTCTTACGGTGGCCGTGTACCGGAGAGAGAGAGAGAGAGAGAGAGAGAGCAGCGGAGGGGGGGAGAGAGATGTAATACGGGTTCCTGATAAGCTGTGGAGAGTATAGCTGCAGGGAGGTGGATGCACCTCGCACCCAGGAACGAACGCTAGCTCCGGTCCTTTTCCCGTGAGGGAAACTGTGGACTCGATGTCCTGACAGGCTCGAGTTTGTGCAACCTGCACACACACAAGCTCACCATGATTACAAATGGTGAAATACAATGTAAAATTACCGAAAAAATACCAGCTCACTAAATCACAACCGCTCATAACCAACTACAAACTACTACAGCGGATTGGGCAGAGAACGAGTCCGAGGAAAGGTTGGCTCCCCCATGTGACGTAATATGACGCCGTTTACGACGTGTGACGTAACAAAACAAGCAGTTTTTAGTAGCAGTGCTCACAACGGCTCCTTTTCCTCGAATTCCTGCCCTTATGTCTTGTAAAACAATTCAAAATCCTGCATTAACATTTTTTAATTGGTAATTTTCAGGCAAGGTGTTAAACATAAATGTAGCTAATAAAAACAAAAACCTGCAAGTGGCTCTTTAAAAAAAAATATATAGGCACCAAATTGCAACCTGACGTATCTATCTACGGTCACTATTCCCATTGAACATTTGCTCTTTATTAAATAAACTAAACACCCCCACCCCCCCCACACACACCACGAATACACACACTCACATCAGAGACAAGAGTGGAGGAAAGGAGGAGAACAACAAAGTCTAAACAAGTCAAACATATCTGCATTATTGCCCCGAGCTCTGCTGTCTGCCCGTTTGTGTCCCCCCAGTTTCAAATTAGTTTATTATTATTTTTTAACCTCAAGCCGTTATCGTCACAGAAGAAGGACACACACAGACTGCCCAGGTGGACGCGCACGAACGCGACAACGAACGTAGCGTGCGCATTCTAAAAATAGCTCACATACCTCATTCACACCAACGCAACTCCGGTTCAAGCTCCGTGCTAGAGCTTTTCAGCTTCAGAACCGGTTCTTCGGTTTAGCTCCGGCTTTTTTCACACTAACCAGAGTCCGACTGGTGCTGCGTCATTGCGTCATTGTTTGCGTCATGACGTAACCATTTGCGTGCCTGCTTCATAAAGCCAAACTGCGCGGAAACCCCTCACAGCTGACACCGACAACAACAACAATGGCCGATTGTGCTCCAGCTTCCTCTGTACCTCTTCGGAAGACCAGATTCCCAGTAGGTAGCTGGTCTCTTCAGTGGACCACTGCTGCTTGTTAAGTTTGTTCATCGTTGTGTACAAACTGGATAAAACGCAGGCTTTTTGTTGTTGTTCAGGAGTTGATTCCCGCCCTGCCCCCACCTCGACGTAAGCGTGACGTATGTGGTGCTTTTGCTCTGGCCGGCACAATTTTTTGGTGCTCGAAATGAACCGGATTCCGGAGCTAAGAGGCTGCTCCGCTGCGTGTGAACAGGAAAACCCGCTTTTCACAGCTCCAGCTCCGAACCGGCCCCTGAAACACCGTTGTGTGAATGAGGTAGCAGATGGTGATCAGGTACCGCAGTTTTGAACTACAGTATTGAATTTGACAGAAAACAACAATGAAACGCCAGCAGAAGAATAGTCTACTGAGTTGGGTGAAAAAAAAGACAGGAGATGTGAGTTGGTTATTCAGTAAATATAGCTTCAGGGTAATTGGATGTTCTGTCTACACCTGTTGATGTGAGGCTAATGCAGGATTTGCTAGCTTGATGCTACCGGCATTTAGCGGCAGTGACTCAACAAATTGTCTCTTAAAATGTATCGTCAGCAATGTATGACAAGCAGACTGCTTGTTTAATGTTAGACTCACACCAATAGCTCAATATGATCATAACACGATTGCTTTCATATCAGAGATCAGATGAGGTAGGAGCTGCCTCCAGCAATAGAGGATGAGGCAGAGAAGCAGCAGCGCAGGGTTGCAGCAGGTATGTTATGCTGTAGTCAGGTGATTTCAATGTATCAATGAAAGGAAGAAGTGTATGCTACATGATAAGAAGGGAATACAGTTTGAATAAAAGTAATACAGTACAGTGTAACACTGTACTGTATTACTTTTACAAATACTTTGTTACTGTACGATATCAAAAAAAAATTCAAAATTCTAATTTAAAAGGCAGTAAACCTAGGGGAAAACACTGTAACCTATCTACCAATTGGATCAAATATAAAAGTCAGCCGAATTAGTGTTGATACTGTAAGGAGACGTATTGTGTGAAAAGAAATGGAAGATGTTGTTTAATTGCTAATATATTTATGATCCACGTCACGTATTCAGTTTTGGCGGCATTTCTTACAGTTTGTCAAAAGGTCTTCAGGGCTCTATAAATAAATATCTACGGCAGATATGTAATATTTAATGCAGCCGAACCGTGTATTTCAATGCCGCTATGTGATGACTTCCAAAGAGAAAAGAACACTTGGAATAAAGTATTATTTTATTTTTTTTAAAGTTTTTTCCGATTTCATATCGGATAAACACCATATCCCAACATGCATTGCGGCGATGTTTAGCCTATCAAAACCTCTGAAAAAAGAAAGGTGTCTCAGAATCGAAAGAGAAAAACCTATGGGAAAAACACAAAAGCATTGTACACACACAAAGGATAAACTGATGTTTTTTAGTTGATGAGTACTGCAGATATCACTGTTAAATCATTTGATCATTGGTTTTTATTATGAAAACGTCGAGACCGGAAATACTGTTTTCAACCCGTAACTTTACATGGAGGCTGCCGCATACCTCAAATCATCTTCGTAATATCTATCAAACTATAGATCCTACATATCGACTGGACGTGGATTCTAAAAGTACAATATATACTTCTCGCTAGAAATCTAATCAAAAAGCGTTTTAATGGCCAAACTATTCTACAATTTAGGATTTTACAGAGAGGGTTATTTGTGAATAAACGACCATCTGTAACGTTAGCATTCAACGGGAGCACTGGAGGGCGAAAACTTAAAAACTTAATTATAGGACGTATTAAGTGCCTGAACAATCGGCCTATTTGGTCATATGAGTTGGAGGACTTGTTGCTTCTGATATGATTTAGCATGTTTGACGTGTTACCATTAGCATAACGCACTGCTGTTGAACAACGGCGGCACACCATCCTCGTCCGATCCTCCACTCGCACTCCATCGTTATTGTAGTCCACAGGGAAGCCCAAATGTTCCCACACAGCTGATTTAAAAGAAGCAGGTGGGGTCTTCTTTAACTTACTAACTTTTCTTCTTCTTGTATTTTGTTTCGTTTTGTTGTGTTTTTCTTCTTCTTCTCATTTGTTGTTTAAGGGCGGCTGGCAAACAGCTTTTAGGCGCAATACCGCCCCCTGGATTATATATAGTGTAGTGGATACTTCCCTGAATTACAGACTTTTTTCACACTCGTAAAAAAGGGCGTATTCGTTGTATGACTGCATGCACCCGAACCGTGACGTCCGAACCGTGACGGTACGGGGACAAATACGGATACTGTTACAGCAAAACCCCTACTCTGAAGTGTTTTGCTCGAAATACCAAACAGATAACCCATTGTAGCATGCCTCATACCCCTCTATTTCAGCCCTATTACTAAAGTGCTGATTCTGGGTCTGGCTCTTTAAATGTAACCAAGCTCCTGCTGGCCGCGCCCCTTTGGAGCTGCTGCTGGTCACGCCCCTTTGGAGCGTCCATATGCATTCAAGCAGTGTGAAGCTGTGCAAGCATTATTTCTGAAACAGTATGGAACTTAAACGCTTTCTCTCTTGCGGGTTTACTACAAGGTGAGTACCTTTTGCTTCTTTACACATACTCTCTCCAGTACAGTGTTAGCTCTGAGTGTTAGAGATGCTTGCTTATGTAAACACAGATGTAAATACTTCCAAAACACGACGCGCATTGTTTCTGATACAGCAACGTTTCTGATAGGGGACGACAGGTTGGAACATGGACGGGAGTTCAACATAAAGTCAAACATTTAGTAATGTCTTCATGACCGCAGCAAATCTGGATTCAGCTCCGTTTTACCCCCCGTTTTTAGAGATGTGGGTTAGGAGGACAGAGGGTTTTATTTTCTGACACTTTGTGAGTCTCCTGACACACCGGGGACACATATTTATGTATAAATGACATCAAAAGGTGACCTTTAATGCTTAATAGCTTGGTGGTAGGGGGAATGCGTCGAAATATCTAAAAAAAAATCAACAGCAGAATGTCGGAGCACTTCATGTTCTGGAGCCAGGGAATCTTTACTATTGTGTGTGTGTGTTTGTGTGTGTGTGTGTGTGTGTTTACCTGTTGGGGGCGGGACTGTGGGACTCACAGTCTTTTTACAGCTGCTCCTCCGGGCAATCTTCTCCAGCTTCTCTGCTACTTCATCATAGAACTCAGGAGGGTGGTCTGCAGTGACATACACCACAACTCCATCAAACATTAAATCAATTGTCACCACTCTACTTCCGTCACTTCATAAACATAATGTGTGCATGTTCACACAACAACACAGGTTACAACCCGGTGCAATCAGACACAATTTAGTTTTGAATGGAGTAAAACCAGGAAATTAGTCAGTATTTTCCACTTCCTGTTCCCTTGTCTTGAAGTGGACGTTTTGAATGTGTTTTTGGTTCAAAAAAGTGGTTGCTGACAAGTGACTAAAGGAGACTACTAAACGCCTTCCCGCTGACATTGGCCTCCTTTAGCTTAGCAAAGGTGACGTGCAGCCATGAGACCGCGGTAGATCTTATTTTCTGCAATAATCCAGAATCCAATGGGAGGAGCCCTGGTGATGCTAACCTTTGGGTCTGCCCTATAAATAGAACACCAATGCACCGCTCAATAGAGTTCGGTCAACCACATCAAACACCCTACAATAACAGCAGGGTGGTGTGGAGAAAACTGTTATAAAGGGCCCATTCTAAGCAATGAAAATGAAAATGAAAGATGTCTACATATACATTTAAACTGTAGGCTTTGCAGCAAATAAATGATCTGGTTGAGTTGTTTTATTGTGTAATGGAGGATCTTACTGGGAGAGATGAGGGCCGGGGAGGGTTCAAGATGTTTGTCGATTGGCAGCGTAGAAGGTCTCAGAGGACGAGCTCCATCTCTGTCCTTCTCTCTGTCCCTCTCTTTGTCCTTCTCTTTGTCCCTCTCTCTGTCCTTCTCTTTTTCTTTTTCTATCCTTTTCTTGAAGAATCTGGAGATCTTTCTTTAATCTTCTTCTGGTTCAACTTCTTCGGCTGTCTCTTCTCGCCGTCATCTTCTTCTGATGTAGAGGAGGGGATATGACATCGTCCTGTGGGAACAGGTTTTTTTTGCTCAACATTAAAAGTGTGATGGTTTTGATGTTAGTATATAATAATGTAATATTCTTTACAATTTAGTGGTATAATCTTATTCAATTTATAAAGTCATTTATAGGTAGCATGTTTAATACTTCTTATGTAATTAATCCTATGTCCATTATGCAACTTTTATAAACCGTCTTTTCCAAATACCAGAGGTAGTCATAAATGTATCCCTCCGTTAACATTTAAAACTCCCTGTCATCTCTATCCGGACAGTGTGTTTACCCTCTCCCTCTGTTACTACTGCATTAGTATTACATTTAGCAAATGGTTAAAATAATCTCTCCACATTTATCTGGACAGACAGTCTCTTTACTATCATATTCATATCGCTTGAGAAATATAAACTCAAGTATGTATTTGATAGACTAATTTAGACATTTAAGACAGAAAAGAGAATGAGGCATAACAACAATACTTTGAGAGAAATGTGAGTTGCTATGTGAACCTTTTAAACATAGGTTACACTGAATGTGAAGGCACCATCTACACTCTCTGACTAACAACACACAACACCAGTTTGCTTTGGCTCACCAGTTTTATTTCATGGTTTGTATTTTTGTATTCTCACATACATGTAAGGTCTATGTTATATCTAATAATCTTGATGAGGAGGTCAGGCAGTGACTGGCTCAGAAGGCAACCAATCAGAATCCTTATATGAAGTTTTCCTCCAGCAACACCAACTGAAAACATCATCCATCTGTCTGAAGACCGAGGGATCTCTCTCTCAGATTGAAATCAACAGTCAGATGTGACTTGTGTGTATGCGGTGTAGTGTGAAGTAAAAATAACTCCTGCTCACGTCTGTCAGGTCTCTGATGGCCTTGGACCTGCGGTCCCGGTCCAGGGAGCCTTAGGTTCTTTGGCGGGCCGGCGTATGGAGTTATTTAGAGGCAAGCTGCTTTATGAAGTCCTTGAATCCAGTCTTCTTCTCATCTGCTGAAGTGACATCTTGATAATCTCCTCCCCATCCTTTACTTTTTGTTGTGGTTTGGAGCTAGTATGATTGGTTAACAACAGGAGAGATATCTCATCACTTAACACCATTTGAAATAAAGGACAGTATCCCTTAAAATAGTAAATCATGAGAATTTAATAAATGACTTCTAAATATATGTTCACATAAGTGGAATACATTCCTAGCTCAACTGGAATGACATTGTATTATCACCACGCCTGTGGTTAGGGCTTTTTACGTTCACAGGCAGCCTATAAACTTAAAGTCAGTACTTCAACTTTTACCAGAGCACTTTTCAACACGTGTATCTCTACTTCTCATTGAGTGAACCATCTCTGTTAATAAAACAACATGTTTCTGAGATCCGAGCATTATTGACATCAGTATCCTGTCTGAGGCTGTCCTGAACAGTGACACACAGAAACAGATCCAGCAAAGCCTGCACAGAGAGGTGTGTCACCTGTACTTGCTGTGGTCTCTGTAGAGCCCTCCTACTGTGCCGGGCCTCTCCTTCAGGGGCGTGGAGAGTGTCCGATGGAGAAAAGCCTGCAGGACCAGATGAGTCTCCGCCTTAATCTCCACCAGAGAGATGGAAGAGATGGAGGAGACGGAGGAGTTGCGGCCTGCAGACTCTGACATCTCTAACAAAAGGAGAAACAGCATTTCACTTGTTATTAAAGTGAGAACCTTTGTCAGAACACAAATAGTTAGGTGGTCTGTTGTATTATTATTGGTTTTGCAGGCATTGTAGAGATCAAGAACACAGCAAGTCATGTTATGAGTCCAAAACTGACACAAAATGGTAAAATGTATCAATATGCTAACTTTTTTAAGTTAGCATAACCCACTTCCCCCCCACTACTCATGGTGCCCTATAGAGAGATCAATGTTTAGCAGATATATATTCTGAGAGTTTACTAGCGGCCTGCCTGCCCGCCCGACCGCTGGTAAGGTAAAACTAGGCCGATTAATCAATGTTATTTTTAGTGCTTTGTAACTTTGACCCGCTTGAATGAATAGACAAAAAATATGAAGAAAGAGTTATCTCTGGGGCTGTATTGAACAAATAAACTAACACAAACTAACTGTATCACTATAACATGATGGTGATAAGAATGCACCTAACGTATTGCTGTTCATTATAGTAATACAAAAACGACGCAATAACCCTCAAGTCTTTTTTAGATATCTCCTTAAATCACCTTTTAAATGTTATACATGGGCACCCCGTGTGTTACATATCAAAAATATTCAGGACAGTCTCTGTTCTTTGTATAAAGTCACTCAACTTAGAGCGTGTGATGAGAACATTTGCTCTAAAGCTGAACATTGACATCCGATTTTTTTGAAATCTTCAAAACTCTTGTGAAAACACAGACTTACTCATGTCATCTATTTTTCTGGTGTTTTAGATTTGGTTTACCAAAGTCTTAGGTTCACAAAAGTAGTGCAAAATATGACTAACACTGTATATACATTTGTAATTCAAGTCTAAAATGAAAATGTTTCAATTCGAATTTTGAGTAAAATAGTTGTTTATCAATCTACTTTCCCCACAGCAGGGACTGAGATACATTTGGACTGAATGACTTCATATGAAATACCAAGGTTGTGTGATGTGTACAAATACAAATTCAGCATTATAACTCTTTTTTTTTATAAATGTTTTTTTCAACCAACTATTTATAAAAATATAAGAAACTGGTAAATCTTACTATTTACAATATCAGAACTTTTTCAACCAACTACTCATTATAAATGTAAAGACGGGGAGCAGTGGCAGGGTCTTTGTCCGTCTTCCAAGACAGTGGGGCTGGCTGCTGTGCAGGTGGGGGTGATGGTGCAGGGCTGCTGGTAGCTGTGTTGGAGGGAGGTACGTTTGATTTCCCGGGTTGATGCTGGTGGGTGTGTGGGAGGTACGTGTGCTCTACGAGACCTCCTTGCTGGCCGGGTTGATGATGGTGGCTGTGTGGGGGATACGTGTGTTCTAATGGCGCTTTTCCACTGCAGGGCCTCGCTTGGCTTAGTACGGTATGGCTAGGCCTCGTTAGGCCTTGTTAGGCCAGGCTCACTTTATGCTGCGTTTCCATTACAGTTTAGGAACTGGGGTAGTATCTATAGTAACACAGTGTAAGCGGAGCCGTGATGTCATCTTCAATGCGAAACATAAACACGTTTTCGGTACAGCAGAAAAAATGATCACAAAACATAAAATATTTTTTGGGGGTTTTTTAATTATTATTAAACTGAATAATGTATTCACTCAAATAAATACAAAATATAATAAAATAAACATTAAGATGCAGCATTTCGATGAACTGAAATAATCTGTACTTGAACTGTACTTTACTAGTTTGACATTACTATGGAAGCAAACAAGAGACAGAAGTATTTGAATTTTATCAGACACGGAATTTCTAGCATTGAAAATAATTACTTTGAAAATCATGTATCTGCATTTTTTTGCTCCGAATTTACCTATGTGAAATAAAAATGTAACCATTCAGGTTAAAAAAATTAGAATAGTAAAATTCAGATCCCAAAAATTCAAGTGAAAAAAATTTGAATGCGCAATTTCGGTGTTTAAAATTCGACGTAAAAAATGTCATTGTTTAAAATTCGATGTCCAAAATTGCGATGCAACATCATCCGGGCTACTCAGACAGGATAAGCAATCAATCCCGAATGCAATCAAACCGACTTCTGGCCTATCAGAGCCAAGCGGCGAACTCCGGGACAGAGTGCGGTGAAGCACAATGCTGCAAACTGTAGGCGATGGATGCAGATGGGAGCAATTCCCGTAGACCCTATGTTAAAATGTCCAACTTAACATCAGAAAATGAACATGTTTCTAGCCTGGATCCACAAAAACATATTCTGTATATAGTTAGATTCCCCCTTCATGACAACGGGACTGCTGCTCCTAGCTCCTCTGTCTCACTGCTAGCTCCGTTAGCTCCATTGGCTCTGTGATACTACAGTTTCAGCTCATGAGGAGAACACTACTTGAACTCGGCCGTGTTTGTTGTGTTGGCTCCTGGTGGACTATTCGTCATGCAAATATAGGATTTATCTGCGGTTAAAACAGACCGTCCATGAATGCAGTTTCTTCGGTAAGTCAACCCTGCGTACTTTATGTTATGTTACTGGTGTTTTTATTAAGCTAACGTTAATGAATGTTTAGAGTTGGGTTAGCATTTGAGCAATCGGTAGCTCCATCTGTGCTGTGCTATGCGTAGCATCCAAGTTAAACGTAATAGAGAAGTATAAAACATTAAGTGGGATGCTACTGTATACCAAAAGGCTTCTGTGCGAGGTTGGTAAAATAAGGTCATCCTTGTGCGTTAGATAGTTAGTTTGCTAGTTAGGTTACTGTATGCATTGTTAAGGTTCATTTCAATTCACAGTCACATTTCAAAATGGTCCAGAAATAACGCTCCCTTAGATATTGTAATATGGTTTGTTGAACTGGAGTTATTTATTGCAGCTAACCGCCTATCCGACGAACGACCCAAACATTGTTGTTTTTAATCCATCTTCTCCCGCTTATCCGTGGTCGGGTCGCGGGGGTAGCAGTTCCAGCAGAGAGCCCCAAACTTTCTTTTCCCTGGCCACTTCAACCAGCTCTGACTGGGGGATCCCAAGGCGCTCCCAGGCCAGCGAAGAGATATAATCCCTCCACTTGGTCCTAGGTCTACCCCTTGGTCTCTACCCAGCTGGACGTGCCTGGAATACCTCCCTAGGGAGGTGCCCAGGTGGCATCCTTACTAGGTGCCCGAACCACCTCAACTAGCTCCTTTCGACGCGAAGGAGGAGCGGTTCAACTCCGAGTCCCTCCCGGATGACTGAACTTCTCACCTTATCCCTAAGGGAGACACCAGCCACCCTGCGGAGAAAACCCATTTCGGCCACTTGATCTCGTTCTTTCGGTCATGACCCATCCTTCATGACCATAGGTGAGGGTAGGAACGCAAATGGCCCGGTAGACAGAGAGCTTTGCCTTCTGGCTCAGCTCTCTTTTTGTCACAACGGTGTGGTAAAGCGACTGCAGTACCGCTCCCGCTGCTCCGATTCTCCGGCCCATCTCACGCTCCATTGTTCCCTCACTCGAGAACAAGACCCCGAGATACTTGAACTCCTTCACTTGGGGTAAGGACTCATTCCCTACTTGGAGTGGACAGTCCATCGGTTTCCTGCTGAGAACCATGGCCTCAGATTTGGAGGTGCTGATCCTCATCCCAGCCGCTTTACACTCGGTTGCGAACCGATCCAGTGAGTGCTGAAGGTCGCAGACCGATGAAGCCATTAGAACCACATCATCTGCAAAAAGCAGTGGTGCAATCCTTAGTCCACCGAACTGCAGACCCCCTCCCCCACGACTACGCCTCGAAATCCGATCCATGTATATTAAAAACAGGATTGGTGACAAAGCGCAGCCCTGGCGGAGGCCAACCCTCACCGGAAATAGGTCCGACTTACTGCCGAGGACCCGGACACAGCTCTTGCTTTGGGAGTACAGAGATTGGATGGCCCTGAGTTAGGGCTGGGCAATTTGGCCTAAAAATAAAATCGCGATTTTTTTCTAACTATGGACAATTTTCGATTTAAACCTCGATTTTATAACAAACCAGACCAAGGCAAAATGTAAATACACATTTTCTTTGCAAAAAATGCGTAAAAAGGAGGGTTTCTGCCCCATTACTTCTCTTCTTACTTCTATAAGAATAAAACACGGTGAGGTGTAAAATGTGTTTTAATATCATAAATGTTACGCATACCGTCAGTTTAAATGCTGTTTTATACTGAAAAACTAGAAGTTCTTGTGCACAACCAGTTTTATTCTGAAAATCCTTCATCTCCGGACGGTTAGCATTTAGCATGTGGCTAATATACCATTTACTATAGAGGTGAATTTAGTAGCGATATGACACGGAGTGTTGCACACCGAAACATACTGATTTCAACACTACAACTATAGACGTGGAGATATTATTATTGCTGAATATTAAATGAAGGTACAGTTTATTTGAATACGTTTGTTTACAGACGTGGGTAGTAGTATGAGACAACATCCGGAACTACCGTAAATGAAACCAGCCGTGAAGTATTTCCTGTATTTTTGGAGTATTGAATACAGCATTTAAAATGTATTAAATGAAAAGTCATGAAAGAGATAAGGAGGAGAACAGGCGTGTTTAGTTATATATTTAATATACAATGTCGGAGTCCTCTGTTATGCTCAACAACGAACATTGGAGACGTGGGGGGGCCGGCTCCCAGCAGCGCCAACCGGCCCACAGCGAGCCAGCGGAGGAGATATATCAGCTGGAGAGGTGGAGCTCGCTCTCTTCCCTTCGCTCACGAGAGCTTTTTTAATTAAAGCACCATTTGAACCTTCTCAGAGACTCCATTTAGTCTCCTTTTAAAGCTTCTCTCCTGGACGCGAGAATAACGAACACAGCATAACAACAGCAGATCGGGCAGAGCTGCAGATCGGGTAGTCACAGGCAATGTGGCTGAGTTTTGGGCGCGTTCTGGAAAGTGAGAGAGTAAGCTACTACGGAGTCCCTTAAAGCAAAAACAAATCTGCGGAGTCTAGAAATATTTTTAAATCGCGATTTTTCGGTTCAGCCATTTCA